TTTGATCATTACCTGATGATTTTCTGTGCGAACGTTACCGTTTCTCAGCACAATCTATAAGTCATTTGGATAACATCCTCAGGCCATATATTACGCATGTGACACATCGCGGACATGCTCTCAGTTCTGTACATATTATTTGTATTGCACTTCGGTTTTTTGCAAACGGGAGCTTTCTGTATAATATTGGTGACGCTGAGCACGTTTCCAAGGCTACCGTCTGTCGGGCAGTCAGGAATGTTACAGTTGCACTGAAACGTCTCCTGTACTCGTTTGTGGTGTTCCCCGGTCATAGACCCACAAGATTTATCAAAGAGGGATTCCACAAAATTGCAGGTATCAGGATGACCAAAACTTAATTCATGATGTGGTGATACTTGGACTACTACTTAAATGGTACATTAATTTCCAGGGTTCCCAGGCGTGATTGGCTGTATAGATGGCACTCACATTTCAATCATTGCTCCTCCAGTAAATGAAGGAGACTATGTGAACAGGAAGTCTTTCCACAGCATTAATGTGCAGGTACATAGTTCCCTGTAGCATTTCACACTAACAAGTGATGGCATCATAGTAATGGATGCTAATTTGTGTTCTCTGCACTGTGAAGATCATATGTGATGCTGCCAACATCATCACAAATGTGGAAGCCAAGTGGCCAGGCTCTGTACATGACTCACGAATCTTCTGGGAATGTACACTGAGCACCAAATTTGGACATGGTGGGTCAAAGTTACTGTGAAATATACAGAGACCAATTGCCACAGGGACGTTTGCACTGACATGTATTCTTCTGTCCTAGGAGAGTTCACTGGCCACCTGCTTGGTGATAGGGGGTACCCATGTCTACCCTATTTGCTCACCCCTTACCCTGACCCTGAACCGGGCCCACAGCAGCGTTATAATCTGGCCCATTGCAGGACACGGGCCAGAGTTGAAATGACCATCGGAATGCTCAAGGCCCGGTTCCAGTGCCTTCAAAGACTCAGGGTCACCCCAGAAAGGGCATGTGACATTATTGTGGCATGTGTGATTCTTCACAACATTGCCACGATTAAAGTGGAACACTGTCCAGCTGAACCAGACATCAGCAGTGATCCACACGATGAACATCCTGACCCACCCACGAACGTACAGGATGGAAGAGCAGTCAGAGACACCATATGCCACAACCATTTCCTGTGACCCGTCAACCCAACATGTTACAAGACAAATACACAGATTCTGTGGTCAACTGGCTTTATTGGTCACCCTGTATGTCCTGTACACAAAGAATAAATGCGTATATTAGTATGTTGTACAAACACTGACATGATTCGTCCATCTCTGATCACTCCACCCACCCTTAACTGTTGTTCCAGCAGTACAATCTCCAACTTGGACTTCTGGATCTGCAGCTTGAGGTGTACCATTTCCATGTCGCACTTCTGTATTTTCCTGACCAGATATGTCTTGTACAGCTGCTTCACAGGGAGCTATTGCAACACAGGACATAGCATTGGCATCCATAGTACATGCCTACTTAGGTTGGTTGTAAATCAGTGCTGAACATCCTACTGTGGACAGGTTTGTTGTAGGAGTGGCTGGACCCTCTTCCTCTTCATTTCCAGCATCACTCTGCCAGGGACATAGTAAGTCCATGGTGTTACCATAGTACCACATTGTCGTCAGTTGTTATATTTTCCACTGTACACTGTATACCTCATAGTGTGGCTCTGTTGCGTCCTCCTCTGTAACAGCTGTCACTGTTTCGTCATCATATGCCTGTGGTGGAGACATTTAACAACATTGCTGTTCTACTGTTGACACATGTAGTCTGTGGAGTATTACGAGTACTCACAACTGCATGTTGGTCTGGCTCAACAGGGGCTGCACCAGATGCAGTACACCATCACCATCAACTGGCAGAATATGGGGTTCATACAGGTCACTCATGACTTATGTGGGCACAACTGGCAACTACCAGACATACCAATCACCATACACCTCATTGTCAGTATGCTCTCAGAGACAACCGACACTGAGGGAAGGCAAAATCAGTAGGTGTTAAGGTGGAAATGCTTTTATGAGTTTTATGTTGCATTAGAGTATATGTTCATATGTTACTCTTAATGGGGAAAGAACAAAATGTACTACTCGCTCTGTCTCTAGAAACAGGAAGCTCACCCTGTGAGAGATTAACACACACACACACACACACACACACACACACACACACACACACACACACACATGTATGCAAAATTAAAGGACACTGCTATGCTATAAATAAAGACGAACTACCTGCAGCTCGGTGTGAGTGGGTCTCTCCCTGAGCCCTCACCCGTGCAGCACGTTAACAGTCTCCAAGTGTCTCAGTGTTGTTTATTCACCTAACTGTTTGATAACTGTCATTCTCTGACAGTAGGACAATAACTTCACTACGACATAGTTCATTTTGGTCAAGGTGACTGTGAAGAATGGATGTATGCACATCATGTATTATTTTGAATTTACCCCCTATGTAGGCACTTGTGTCTTGCGGGGTTACTGACTCAGAGGATGTCCCCGCAGAGATGCCTTCAGCCACAGGGCGCCCACTGTTTTGGCTGAGGGCCAACTGCTCAGCCTCTGTGAGTGGTGGTGGTGGAGGACCCCCACCTGTTTTTCGGGCCTCCGCTTTTTTTCTGTTGGTTGTGACGGCACACATTTGAGCATACAGAGTAGGCAAATGTGTACTTGTAATGTGCTCAGGTAATTTCAATAAGTGCTTACAGGAGGTAAATTAATGTAGCCTGTAACTGCAATTGGTTTACATGGGACAAACAGACCAAGCACTGTGGCTCATACTATAATTACACCTTACCTGTTTGGACTATATTTTTATATTTCATTTTTACTTGCTGCCAGGAACGTTTGGGGCCTGTTGGGTTGCACCTGCGCTGTATGACATAAAAAATGAAATAACATATACTAAGATAACGTGTTAAATGGGTGGAAATCCATAGATCAATGTTTAAATTGACACTCACGCATTGACTCTGTCGGCTATGTTTTGCCATGCATGCTCCCTTTCTTTTGCAGCTGCGGCTGTGTTACTTTTTTTCTGCAAGATGTGCATGCTGTCGGCATATGCTGCCATCAGGGTTTCGGCCTCAAGCGCTGTGAAATACGTTGACCGCACCTTCTTTCCCTCCGTCTCCATGGTGACTCGCGTAATCTGTGCTCCACTGATCAGGGCTTTATGTATCCTCGTGCGCGCGCTTGACTTGGGGTTAATGCGTTGATTGAACTACTTGTTATCAGCCTTTCTGAAACCGAATATTCCGAGTTGGACAGTTCGGGGTTACTCAACCCTGAGTATCGTTTTTCACTCTGACTTTTCTAAACCGGCTTCCTGAAACAGGGCCCAGAATTGTTGTTTGAAGGCCGAGAAAGATGCCATGTTGGTCCATTTGATTGACCTTTATTATAATTGTGTATTTATTTTATTTTATTATCAGTTGTTACAGACGGGACAGACATGACTGGGGGAAAGGACAGGGAGAAGGAAAGAATGAAAGAAAGAGGGAGAGAAAGAAAAACAGAGGGGAGAAGAGATGATGAGAAAGGGGGGAAGGAACAAAAAGAAAAACAAACAAAACACCTGGATCACCTGTATGGAGAAAAAAACAGAAGAGAAATCAAACAAAGAGCAACATAATAAATACATGTTATCATCATTTATTATTATTTTTTAGTATTCGGTTTTGGTGGTAGAGTTAAAAAAATTTAATATTTTATTTTAATTAATTAAAATGTTTTAATCAAAAACTGAATGTAAAAAGTCACAATATTAACAGCATGATGACAACAACAACAACAACAACTGCTATTACGACTATTAGAAGTACTATTATTACTATTATTGCGTAGCACGTAGTATTCAATAATGTAATTTTATTTACTGAACATTAAAACTAAAATTTACTATTTTACAAATAAATATTAATATGATGAAAAATGTTACGTGACAATGTGTGGTCCCGCTGCTCTGCACAGCCTTCAAACAGATTCCTTTTATTCACAGCAGCGGTCCCCAACCCCCGGGCCACGGACCGGCACCGGTCGTTTGGTACCAAGCCGCGAGAGTTGAGGTTCGGGTGTGAAACTGATGCTCTTCAGGGGTTTTAGCGTTATTTTTTAAAATCTTTTTTAATCATTAACTCTGTTTCCCTGGGTCTTTTCCCATGTGTTTTGAATAACTCTTCTTGTTTTGGTAGCGGTACTGGTTTCTCATGCACCTTCACAAGGAAAGGGAGGTGTTGGCAGCATCTGACCAATCACAAAAAGGGAAATTCACAGATAATATGACTTGTCTTGATGCCTAAAATGTTTTTATGCTTGATTCAATTTAGCTGTTTAGTGTCTTTTACTCTGCTGGTGCTGGTTAGGTTCCAGATTAGAGATCAGCAGGTATGAAATCACGACGTACTGACCAATCACTTCTCCAGAAAATAGTGTCACTATTCCTGGAAGATCCCTTTGACTTCTGTTGGGGGGAAGAGAGGGTCTAAAGTTTCATTTTTGTCTAATGTCTTTGTGTTTCACTAATGAGCATCAGTAAGAAAAAAACGTGTTCTTAGATGCAACTTTTCTCCTTTGATGTTTTTTTTCTGTTGTCAGCAAACAACCACACGATCTGCGTTAATTCACTAACGGAGATTTGCCGCGTGGCGTTAACATCATTTTAACAAGATTAACGCTGACAGCACTAGTTTTAATATTTAATATATTTAAGGATTTAATTTTTAAATCTTTTTTTCATTTATGTATTTATTTTATTGTTATTTCACTTTCTTTGTCTGTTTATGTTTTTTTTACTTTTATCTCAGTTTTTGTGATGGAAAGCACTTTGTTCAACCATGTTGGTTTTAACGTACTCTATAAATAAAGTTGGATTGGACTAATATGATGAAAGCAAGCCCAAGCCTGAAATCGACTCCTGATCTTTGATCCGTCCTCACCTGGTCGTGAACGTGATGGTCAGCCAGGTATCCAGTTTACCTTTGAGTGTCAGATTTAGGCAGATTTGATTGCTTCCGTTTCATGATGACAGATTTAAGTGAACTCCTCTGTCTCCATTCCCAGACTTCTACTTTTGAATAAACTTTCCTTTAACTTGCTCCGAGTGCTCTTTTGTCTGCATGGTGTAACTGCAGCCTGGCATGCTGAATAACCAGTGAGTAGACCTTCCAGAAATATGTGATTTTGGCTGTTGAAGTACGTCAGTCACCTTTGAATGGCTGAATATTTATGGAGTCATAAGTTGACGTTCGTTTGTGGAAGTGTTTTCACTCTGATAATAAAGAGGATTTATTTATTTCATTGACCAATAATAAAAAGACTGTTATTATATTTTTAACATTATATGATTATATTCACAGTGATGCTTTGAGGAAGACTGCACTGTTTGTCCAAGAATAATCAAACTGCCATGAAATACATTCACTAATTTACTATTTGGAACTAACACACTATTAGTACATCTCAGAGACACCTTCTTTCTCACATGAAGAGTAACAGATTACATCTCTCACTGTGTCCGACCAAACAACTGCTGTGGAAAGTCAGTTATTAGCATTTTTTAACTACACCCGTAAATGAACATTTGACTGAATGCTGATAAGTGAATACTGAGAAGTTAGGAGGAAATGTTTTCAAATTTTCCTCCAGAGAATCTGATTAAAATGTTTTTTTGCACTCAGCGAGCAAGAATCAGTTTGATCAATGACCTTTTTTTCAGCCAGAAACCTTTAAGGTCACACATCTGCTGTAATATTATAATTTGCTGTTCTTTTTTAATACACCTTTGTAGAGAAGAAAAACATCTAGATTTCCTGATGCCAGATGTTTTTCTTTCCAAGCTCCTTACTGAGCTATAATGTACTGAGTGAGTCATAGTGAACTTTCTCAAATGTGCATTGTATATATTTAATTTTTTTATTATTCAGATGGAATTTTTGTAATACTAAGGTTCCACATGTCACTGTTGTAGTGGGGCATCAGTGGGACACCGATAGTACATGTGTGGGGTTTCCCAGCCAGAACTGCATGGACTCCACACTGATAAGGCTCATTCTCCGTAGCTCCTCCCCCTTTACTAAATTATAAGTTTGGTGTATTTTGCTTTACTAAGTATTAGTTCTTAGGGCTAAATGCCCCCAATGTGCTGATGAAGGGATGCAGGGATCAAGAGTATGGAGGGTCAGGAGTGACAAAATTAATTAATTATACACCATAAATAATTAATTAAATGTGGCAGTAATTAATAGATGCCCATTAATTTCATTTTCCATTTTTAATTAATTATACAAAACATTTAATTCATTATTTAATTATGTATTTTTTTAATTCATTTTGGCACTCCTGACCCTGCAGCTGTGTTCTTGATTTATTTTTATCTGTCAGCATCACCCATCAAACTCAGGGGCGGGGTTAACGCTGTTTGAGTCAAAACCATTGCTTTGGGCTGGTGGCCATTCCTTCAGTGGGCGTTTCTCAACAACAACAACTATGAACATGCAGAAAATAACTGAACTGTGATTTGAAGTACTCTGTTTGTGTGTCACCAAATAAACTTTAATATTTTTTAGCCGAGGATGTAGCGGTTTGTTAAGATAGAGCCTCTTTGAAGAAGTGCTGATTTTGTGGATTTCCAGGATATCTGTCTCACAGCAAAGCGTGTGATAGACCCAGTACACAACTGTCATAACCCCAGCTGGCTGTACACCGGCTTCATTTACTATGGTTATATCTACTCGTTTCAGTCGCCATTTCTGAATTATAACTAATATTAAAAAGGAGGAGAGAGCTTAAATAAATCAGATTAACACCTGATCTTTGTGTTTTCTGTCCAATAATCAGTGTGACCTGTGTATACACTTTTTTAAAAGAGATAATATTGGTGTTCCCGCCATATAGTAACTCTCAGGTTTAACTGTACCAGGCTTGTTCGACACTGTGAAACCTATACAGACTTCACGATGTTCGACTAATATTTTCATTGTGGACATTAATCATGAGGCTAAACAGGCAGTCCAGATGCTGTCTCAGAGTCCTGTACACCACGGAGCAAAGTCAGCATATCCAGGATATCTTTCCGTTAGTTGATTTAAACCAGCAGCGCAGTTACATGAAAGTGTTGGCAGCATCAAACTAATCGAATTCACATGTCGATATTCTTTTACAGACAATAATCCTTATTACTGCCAACTATTCCAGAGACATGAAAATCTACAGTATAAAGAAAATAACAATATAGCAGTCAAACACAACACTGTTGTAAAAGAGGTGAATGCTTCAGTTTGTCGCAGATCAAAGTGGAATGTGATTGGTTGAACAGGTTCCTGCATGTTCTGTGATATTGGCATTTCCATCAGTGTAAAAGACTCAGCAGCAGATTAAAATCAAGTATAAAAACATTTATACATTTAATAAATCACCAAATTAATTCACACATGTTGCTGTGCCACTGTTTGCTCTTCATTCAGTGATTTTCGCACAGCAGGCTTTACAACTGCTGTTCATTTAAAACATATTCCCCCATCATTCCCCCATTTTAAACGCTTTAAAACATGCTGTAAATAAAGACTGAGTGAAAACGTCCTGCTGATTTATAATCTGTTGTTAAGACTAGTAGTTAAACATATGCCATTTTATGACCAGTAGTCAAGGTAGTAAATTAGCTTAACAGCTGCAGGCCATATATTATCCTTTAGTTCTAATGGTGTGCTATGTATGTAGTTTAGTCTCTATTATACTCTTGAATAAAAGAACATAATCATTTGTAGTTCATTAGACAAAATGTGCATTACTCTGTATCCTTGATCAGCTGTGAATGTCTGACACTGTTTCTTGAGAATGTTTTATTGCTGAATCATGTGAAGAAGGCCATAAGAGGGAGACTAGGTGTCTGGCAGAAGAGATAAAAACACATTCTTTACCCCCCTTCCACTTTCACACAGAAAGACAGGGAGGCAAGGTCAGGAGCCAGGCTCACTAAGAATTAGAAAAACATGTGAAGATGCAGCTTTTATGACAAAGAGGGGGGCTGTGACTAGCTATAAAAGTCTGTGAAAATTGCTACCATTTTGAGACATGCTGTCGAACCTCTGCAGGCATCTCTCCCGTCCGGACGTTGTAATGCTCTTATTGTGAATTGTACCGAAATAAATGATTGTTGATTGAGCATATATACACCGAGTATTGTCCTTCCTTCAGCCCAAAGATTCAAAGAACTGCGTGTTTTCAACAACTTGGTGCCGTGTGACCCGGATCTTTGGTGTGCTGAGGAGGTGCAGATTTGGCCTTTGGTGAGATCGTGGGCAAGGCGAACGGAAGACCGGTCTAACAACAAAAAGGTAAGCACAACCTGTTGTATTATACCAAATGTGCATATTGGGCTTTCCAAATTAATCTGTTCGCTGAGTCACATGTATTTTCACAGTAAATTTGTCGGTGTCTGGTTTTTGGCGCAAGATACTAACAACATAAGTTGAGGCTGAATTCCAGTGTGTTAAATAAACTGCTTCTACCGAGATACTAATAACATACTACGTTGGTCTAGATTGCAGTAATCTGCTTCTACCGAGATACTAATAACATACTACGTTGGACTAGATGCAGCCACTTTACCTTCCACATTTAATTTTGTCTAATACTGGCTTCTGTAGCAATAATACATTAGAATTTATTCTGAAGACGCGGCCATTAGTTCAGTACATTGAAGTCGAGGTTTGAAGTTTGTTTATGGTGTCGGTTACGTCCTGGCTCTTGCCGGCTATGAAATAGAAGTTGATTTAAGGAAAAGCAGATGCTGGCTTCACGGTGCGGTTGAACACTGGCAACGCGAGAGCGAAACACGTCCGTAGGTTTGGTTTATGATACGGCCGTGTTCCGGTGGTGCGGCCGTGAAGTGCAGTAGTGGTTGGTGCTAATTTTAGTACATTGAACAGAGGTTTGACGGTGGTTTGTGGCGTCAGTCGAGTTTTTTTTTTTTTTTTTAAGGCTGCGGTCATAAAACAAAGTAAATTTTACTTGCCAAGAAGTACATAGAGCAAAACCTGGTTTATGATGTCTGGTATAACTTCGGGATGCAAGCATCACTTTTATGATGCGACTTTGCTCCGTGGTGGCGGTCATAAGCGCAGAGAAAAGGGTATTTTGGTCTATGGTGCAGTGTGCTTTCAGAAGATCTAATAGTTGAGCTCAGAGTTTCTGTGTAAAATTCCCGCTGAGGAAAAGTGTTGTGTGTGTGTGAAAGCGCGCTCTGGGTGAGAGAGTGTGTGTGAAGCTGCGAGGCGCGCTCTGGGTGCTGTCTCTGAGTGTGTTTTTATGTGGAGTGTGAAGCGTGAACACAGTGACAGTGACGGTTAATGTGTTTGATTAGGAGGACATTAGAGCAAATACACATTTTAGGATCAAAGGTTGATGCCTAGTGTACCTGTGGAACATTTGCCTATGGAGTAGCGACCCTCCTGTCCGTGGACGCGTGGCCAGGACCGCGTTGTCCGGGTGCTGAGGTGGTGACTTGGGAGTGAGGGCCCCCGCATAGCCACGGAAATAACACTGGAACGGCCGTGTAATCACGGTTCACATTTATTTCCGGACTAGAACAAGACACATTTTGCGAACAAACGTTGAGTCTAGATTAGTAAAGAAATATAAAAAGGTTGAATTCCTCGTTTCAGTGGTTGAAATTGTTGTGTGCCTGTCCCCTGACGAGTG